AAAAAGATGAAACTGAGCTGTTTTGCACAGACAGACTCACTTTCTCTGGATCAGCAGGGCGATCTCTGTTTGCACTTTCAGGTATTCTTGCGCCATCTTGCAGTGCTGCTCGAACACGGCCATGGACTCTTTGGAGTTGGGACAGGGAGCAAGAGGCTGGAAAGAAACGCGCATGTTGATGCCAAAAAGGTCTGCTTCACTGCAGAATGCATTTCTATCAGCAGTAAGTGTAGTCTGAGCACATAATAATACACCATATATCTCACTGATGCTGCCAACGTGTATTTATATTGCACTTTTGAGGCAGCATCGGGTTTTCAAGGATAATCCCTTCATAATGAAGTTGGTACTAGCAATTTACAATGTCCTTCAATTCATCTTTGAGCTGCCTTTGCAGCTTATATCTGACAATATTAAAGGAAGAGTTGTATGTGGTGTTGTTTGCTGGAGAATGATTGGATGCTGTACCTGCAGCTGGTGATCCAGGGTGAGATAAGCCATGGGAATGGAGTTGTCTGAGCCGTTGGTGTCTGAGAGAAGAAAGAAAAAGCAAGGGCTATTTGTCTTTCTGTGACTGCACAGGAACCGTGTTAGACGTCCACCACAGGTCTTCAGAAATAAGTTCCTGTTCCTGTCTCCTCAGCTTGGGCTGACCACAGACCAGCACTGTAAATCACTGATTAACACCACATACCAGTTCCAGTGCGCAATGACACTGATGCTGTCACAGGCAGCATATTTAAGAAGTGGCTCATCCATCAACTGAGGTGTAAAATATAACCTTCATTTGTTTCTCTTAACCATGTTATCTAAGACATGGAGCTTTGTGGTGTGATAAAGCACAGGACACCTTTGTGCTTTGTCACATAATCTGTTTGCTGTGGTTCAAAAGAACTGTGAAAGTTGCCAAAGGCATTGTGGTGTGGAGCAAACCACCAGGACAAGACTAGTGGTTGACCGATATTGTTCAATGGCTGATGCCGATGTTAAAGCAAAAAAAAGTCGCCCATCATTTTATGCAATCTAAAATACAGGGTTATGTCAGAGTTATGTCAACACCAAATATAAGTACAAAAAAGGACCAGAGAAAATAAATGTCAATAAGAAGTATTGATGGATGTGTATTGTATAAGACAACAGAACAATGTAGAAAAGAAAATCCCCATTTTTACTAAATCTAACTGTAATCTGATAAGGTTTTTTTTTTCCTATAACTGTATAGGATTACAGTTCCCTTTTTGTATCCTGATTACATTACTTAGTTACATGTAATTCATTTCCCCCAAAGTCTGGTTATGCTGTAGATTTCAAGTCAAAACACAGGTATGTTGGCATCATGTCTTCTGACTTCTACTCTAAGTCAAATCACTGTTGAGTGTAGTGTTATGTATGAATGCATTCACTGTGAAGAGTGACAGAGAACTTCAGCTGCTAATGTGCTGCTTACATTAAGTGGCAAGTCTAAACATATTGTTAGTCTTTAGTTACTTCAGCAACAGCCTTTGCACCCACACAGCCGGTTTCTCTCTAAGATGTGTCTGGTTAATAAATTGCCCGTATCAAGGGGCTGGATATCTTTTTATAACATTTTATAAAAACATTTTTTTAGGTTTAGGTAACACATGTTCTCATTCACTCTACTATGAGTGTGTTGTGGTAGCTGACTTCAGTGGACAAGTTGTCATGAATACCTGTGGGGTCATCAGGAGAGAAGTAACCCCTGCTGCTCGTCTTATCAGGTGGCATCATCCTCACACTGGGGCTGGAGGACCGGCTGCTGTTCCTGCTCCCCTGCAACAGGACACAAACACTGTCAATCACCTGGGAAGCCACACACAGCCTCTGAGTAATGGAGTGGCAAAAAGTGACCTGGACCGAATATACTGTAAAATAATGCAGCAAAAGCAGTCCGCTTACTGTGCACATGGAGGCATATGGCAAAAGAAGCTTACTGAAGAAAATATCTTTTTTACTGTTGTGATTTGTGAGCTTGCAATTATCACTGGAGAGTTGGCAAGAAATGCCTACATGACAGCTGATTCCAGGAAATAGCACTGAAAATGAAAAGATTAGGCCAATGTCAATTTGGTTTTAAATCTGCCAACCCAGTCCTGAGCAGAGCCATTTCACTCATATATACAATATCTCTGTTTTTAAAGAGCTTGCTGAAGTATCACTTTTGAAATGAATCATCAACTTTCATGATGACACAGCTGTGTACTGCCAGTGATTACACACCTACAACATTTTTTTTTTCATTTCCTGAGTTGCTGCCTTCAAGATGTCATTGATTGGAGAAATTCTAGTTAGAATAAGTAATTCTGATTGGCCATCAGGAGTGGATTCATTTTTAGTAACCTCTGGTACAGGTGTTTGTTTGCAGGTCTAAAGGAATTTCGATACTTTTCGAATTTGGAAAATGTGGTTGTCTTTTCAACATAGATTAACCTAGCCTATAGCACATCTCAGTACAGGAAAGGAGGAAGTTACCTGGGGTTGACCAAGGATTGCTCAACTGGAGCACAAAGCAAAAAGGGGCGGGCCTTTGGAAGGGTCACTCAGAGCTGCGTTATTTGTGAAACCAAGACAGGGTTCCCATTTTTCTTACGAACATATTTTTCAGGACTTTTCCTTGACAATACAGGACAGAATTTTCCCACAAACAGTCATAATTTATCAGTAGGCTAAATAAACCCCAGTTTTATTTCTGCTTTTTTAAAGATGCAGAGTTCATGATGAAGTGCCCCGTGTTCATTACAGGTGGTCAGCTCGCTGTTTTCCCCACAGTTCATCTTTCTGCTGCAGTCTCTACAGTTTTCTTCTAACCCTATTTATTTGGTTACAGTTCAAGTCAAATAGAATTTATTTCATTTTACATCATCGCCCATGTGGTCATCAAGCACTAGGACAAATATAAATAGGATCATTAAAAGGCTGTATGCATGTAGATATGACTGTCCACAGCATTTCCACTGGGTTTCTCTGAGAATAGCGCTTATGGAATAGACTTGAGTGACATAGAAGTGAAATGAAAGGAAGCATTTTTCTGTTCCACGTTGTGTCAGGTAAACCCGTGTCATACTGCACAGCTTATCAACAATTATTTGCAGGATATCTGGTAATTTGAATTAATTTCCTGTTTGGCATTAAAATTAAATTAAAATAAAAAAGCAAAATATGGCATTAAGAATCCAAAAAAATAGGACCATTTTGTCCACTGTTGTATAACAACACATAGCATTAAATCTGAGCTTAGTCCAATGTTACCAACATACAGTGCGTGTGTCTCTCTAGATCCCAGAATAAGAATCAGAAAGCAAATTCACACAAACAACTCCCTGATCAATAACACTGTCACATTCTGGAGGGCAGGTTGATCCCAAAGGCAGCACAGAACGATTTATCTTCTTTAGCAACAGTAGAAGTGTTTATGGTGAACTCTAACTGAACTTTTGACAGCACAGAACTTCGGGTTTACTACTAAACAAATGGAGACAAATGTTTGGGAAGGCAGGAGAAACACTCAGAGCCCAGAAGCTCATTTGAGGCTGTGTGTGTTTGAGGAGGGAGCGCCAGGCCGTTCCTACGCTAATGTCTACATCTACTCGGAGTTGACATATCAAACACACACGGCGTACTCTGTGACATGTTCTCCCCGAGGATTGACATCAAATGCTTTTGAAAGACAGCATCAGTCAAACATGAACAAGGCTTCACTGGAGGAGGGTGAAAGTGGTAAACAAAAACATATATTAGGAGAGCAGAAATAAATCCCTCTGGTAGAGTTCTGCTGGAGTTCAACTTTTCATTTGAAATTACTTAAAGAAAGTGTCTAAAAGTAATTATCGCTGTATCATTAATTTCATGTTAAAACAAAGAAAGGTAAATCATGGTTGCATATTAGCTCCCATGTTAAATAATATTCAAGTCCAACTGAAATCCCCAAAGTCCCTTTTTGCAGTCAAAGTGATTTTCAAAGTGATAATTTTTTGATTATTGAAAGGAAATAAGGTCTAAATAGTGAAGAAATGCTCATTTAGCTTGACTTGGAGGGAGCGGAGGGATTATTTAAACAAACTTCTGTTGTTAACTGTAGTTTACAAGCTCGGCTAAGAATAGAAAATACAATTTAGCATCTAAACTGACTGCTGCTGATATGTTTACTGATGTCAGTTTTTAAGCAGCTCAATGTGCGCCAGTTGATTATCTAATAAACTATCTAGCCTGCAAAATAATGTTAGCAGAGCACTTTGGATGTTTGGTGTTTTGTTCAGCAAGGTAAAGTGCAACACAAGACGTATTCATTCTTGTAAATAAGGAGACATTAGCCAGAAAGCTAACGTGGGTCGGAAACTAAAGTGTCACACTGCTGTTGTTAAGCTGGACTTTATGCATTGACAGAACTGAACTGAACAGAATCAATCCGGACTTCACGAATGGTTACAGTAGTACCTCTGCACAAATTTGTACATTCGCATTCAAGTTAACTCTGACAGGTTAATCTATCTATGTTCTTAATACAACACTGTCTCTTCATATGAGCATGTAAGGGGCCTAACTAGTATAGCTAGCTATATTTAGTTATTTATTTAATAATTAATTTAAGAAAGAGTGGGTGTACCTCCTATTTCATCTTGTGTCAGAAGTGAATAGGACACTGCTGCCATGCTATCAGCATGTTTTCTTTTTTCATTTATTGTGCCCGAAGGCGTAATTGCAGTGAGCTGAAGGTTTGCAGTGGAAATTGTTTTTTTTTTTTTTAGATGAGCCTCTCTTTAACCTGCTTAATGTTGTCTCGCAGGAGAAAACAGGAGGTGCACGTCAGCTACAGCGGTTACGTATGCAGCTATGCTGTAAACCCATTGCACAACTGTAAATCCTTTGAGCTTTAGTCAGTGTCACTGGCAGTCAGTGATAGAACAGTAGCAGTAACTGCCTTATGCAAATAAGTTATCTTATTTTTATAATGAAGCTATACAGGACACACAAACTGCACAGGACACCTCGCCTGTATGCTGTGGCTAGAAAAACAAACATGATTTGATTGAAGTTTAAAGAAGACTTTAAAATGTAACATGTAACTCCAATTATCAATGAATGAAACTCCACAGAGCCTCTGACATTCACCTCTAGTGTGTGACCGTGTCTTACCTGACTGGACTCGGTGCCGATGCCTGGCAGATCTTGCACAGACCGACGTCTCTGCGACTCGCATGTGGCTGTGGACAGAGGGGAAAGAATGAGACCCGGAAGAGTTTTGCAGATAGTGATGGTGGGGGATTGATACCCGTGTTTACTTGCGGGATATCCAGACCCACAGAGCCACACGGCGACAGCTGAACTGATTTAACCCTCTAATGTCCTGCCCTGTCAACGTGCTGTGGCGTGGCTGGAACGTGACCGCAGCGCTAAAACGCACTCGGCCTCACTGACGGTGCACTACAAACATTACCATAGAGCAAACCTATCCACGAGAACAGCTGAGCCTACTTATGTGACAGATTTGAACTGACTGGCTGGTTTGAGTTAGGGGCAGGTGGTGAGGCCGGGTCTTAGACAAGGCCCATGAGAATTTGCAAGTACTGAACTCCTCAAGGTTAAAGCAAACATCCCTGAGGTCTCACCTGTAGTGTTAACTGGAAATATTACCCGCTTTATCTGCTTTAACCCATTAATATCCATTTCCTTTACAGCACTTCATCAAGTTTTTCTTCAATTTTTTGTTGTTACTCACCATCGGGTATCTATTTTGGGATTTTCCAAGAAAACAAATTGTTTTCCAAAAGGAATCTGTTCCTTTTCCTTGGTCCAGTACTTCCATTGTACAGACCTAAGTTTTTAAAATTAATCAATTAAGATCAATTATGATAAACATGTGAAATCAAAGATTCAGATTTTGTTATGCCTCTACAGCTTCAACAGCAGATTTTGTGTTTCCAATTCTCAGAAAATATGTTGTGGAGTTTTCCTTAACGTACTAAAAACAATTAGTGGTCATTAATGGGTTAAAAGAGTGTAAACAGAATCTTCACAGTCACTTTTTTAAGTCCAATTACAGCTGCCCTATAGCCCTCATGTCCTCCACAATTTTTAGTATCAATCTCTCACACACACACCAAATATATGAGTGGGTGTAACAGGGATTCATTCTTACAATATACATGGAGCCAATAATAGTTTTCCTATCGCTTTCCAAGCAGGCTTATACTTGATTAATATTGTTTCCTGTGCTCCAAAAATATGACATTCTAAATTTCTGTGCATTTTCTAGACCCACATGTCGTCATAGGATTTGAAGATCTTAATTTGTTCAATTTGAAATGCAGCGATTGTTGCTCATTAGTAGGCATGGGACGATATGAACATTTCATGTCAGGATTATCTTAGCTGAAATAACTTGGATTCACGATATTATCCCGATAATCATCAAAATATGCTTAAAAATGCCTCACAGATAGGACACCTTATCTCCCAGTTCTTTAGTTTGTAATCCAGACTATTTCAACACATCTGGTTTCACTTTTTTGTGGGGGATACAGTGAGCAAAACAAGCCTTCAGCCACAGTGACAGGATGTTGGAACGGCTCCCCCTCTAACAATTCAAAATAAATCCGGAAGGTAATATAGGACTGTACATTGGCGAGCTGGTCAGCTTTTTAAAGTCAGTCGTAAGGATATACAGTGTTTATGGGGATAGACCATAATATTGTATATTGTCCCATCCCTATCATTTGTAGGACTGCTGACTACACTGTGCCACTAAATTTACTAAAACATACAGTATCATCATTGTTGTTTAGTGAAAACTGTCAAAAATTTCAGCTTTGCAAGAGTTAATGAGGCTTTTTCCCTCCAGCTTCATGACCATGCACTTTTGAGTTGTTTTTTTAAGCACAAACATAAAAATCCAAAAAGTAGCATTCCTAGATTTCACATAACAGCAATATGCAACATGCCCAAGTGTATTGGGACTGTGAAGGGGTGTGTCCACAGTGACCTTGAATTGATCAAGTTGATTGTTTCACACTTATTCACACTTCAAAACTAATACAGATGCCTGGGTTTCTAGTCTAGCCTGACTACAAAGCTCTGTCTATGGCACAATGAGGACACAGCACAAAAGGGAACACACATAAACACACAAGCACTCCCATAAGAACATAAAGAACTTGTTGATTTTTATTTTTTGTATCTGTTGTTGCAGCAATACACTGAGTTGTAATGGTCACTGAACTGATTTTTATTTTATTTTATGCTTTTACAAATAAATACATGCTGTTTTAATAAACTTTGTCTGCTGTTAAAATAAGTAACAAATGTGGATGCCAATTCTGACCTTGCACAATGTTTCAATTTTTGCTTGATGGGAGGGGTGTAACGGTACATGTGTTCACCCATCAATTTGCTCTGATGCACTCTACTTTATAATTCCATCTGGCATGTGAGGAACATAAATTCTAAAGTGTGAAAGCTACCTGAAAAGCTTTGGCAGTGGGACAGGATAGATGTTTTATCTGATAGATGCACTTGGACACTTTTTGACATAACGTGTCTTTGTGGTGTTCCATACTGTTGGCCAGCTACAGCGGTCCACTGCATTCAACCACTGTGTTTTTCAACTCTAACATCGTCAAATTTGTATTTTGTTTTTGTGTGTAAATTCATTGTTTGTGTGTACTGGTATTTGCAAACTTGCTTGCCTCAAATTGCCCTTATATAAAACTCATATATTGAGAAACCAAAGCTAGACAATCTTCAATGCCTTTAAGAGCTTTTCAGGAGCATTATGGTTTCCCTTTCAGTGACAATAGGGAGTGGAACAGACTAAAACATTAGTATGTCCAAATATGATCCACTACCTGTGCAGCTGCTCTCACTGCCTGTGGATGGACACAGCCTAATAATCCGACTGAACGGCTGATTTTTGTTGAAATAAAAAAAATAAATAAATGAAGATGGCGACAATGATTCACTTTAAGAAATGAATAAACAGTGAGCATGAGAGTAGCTGTTGAACTTTTTTGTCAGTTTCCATACACATTGATAATGAAGACATGACATTTAATCCATTCTTTTTCATAAAGAAGATCTAGGACTTAAATTTAGTAAAAAGGTAGCTCTTCTTTGGATTAAAAGTGGTGCTACATTTTGCTCTCATTTCTGACTTCTTCAAGATCAGACGTTCATGTTCAGAGACCTTTATAGTGGAATTTAATTTTAAATTTAGTTTGTTTACACTTCCTTCCTCAGCTGTTTCTGCCCTGCTGCACTGACTGTAAATAGATAGATGTAATCGTAGTTACTACAGTCAGTGACTATACAGAAGTCACTCACAATGTAAATTGCAATATTACTGCTATAAGGCTCATGTAGCACAGTAACTCGATTCTCTATATTTTATGATGTTGCACTGTCTTGTCCCAACACCTTTTATATCACTGTTTAAACCAATGATTATTTTATGGATATTTCATAATATATTCAATGCAGTACAGAACAACTATAAACTGTACAATGAACCCAATAACTGCAGGAAGTTGAATTCTGTGCAGATTATTCCGTGAATATGAGATGAGTTTTCCTGATATTTTTAGTAACTTTTTATACAATTCTGTCTGTGTTATGTATTTTTTTTATTTTTAACAATCATACATACTTAACAGGCTTCTTTTTTGACAAATTCAGTCTTTTCTTCTTCTTCTAATGCAGGATGAGGCTGTTTATTTTTAAGGCTCTGTGAATATAGCTTGTGTTTAGCTCTTTAAAGTTTAGATCTTAAATGATAATATAAACTTTAAAAATAACAATTTCATTTAGTTTTCTTCACAGAAATGAACCAAATGCTGAGATATATCAGTTGTGCGTATATCAGTCAAGTTTTTTACACCCCTTAGGATCAAGAACGCCTTGCGACCCCTCGTGTTTGGGAACCACTGGTCTAGTCCATTAAAATGTATTTATTGTACCACTGTAATGTTGGTAAAACTAATTTTAGTAGTTAGCCTGTTTGGAAATTAGCTCCGCTAAGTGTTAAGCTAACTGGCCAGCCTGGCCTGTGTTTTTGTTAACAGTATTCAAATAGTCCCCCAGAGAGTGTACAAATCTCATTTTACAGTTAATGGTGGCGATCCACAAGCACACTGGTAAATGCAATGAAAATGTTGGTTGTATTTGAAAAGTTTTGGTCACACTCTGGAGTCCTGAATGATGGTATATTACTGACTTATATTACTGTTTTTTTTTCTTATTCTCCTGCCAGTGTTTGAGTGCTGTCATTTTTGAAATAAGAATTAATTTAAGTCATTTAATGTTCACATTCTTCAAAATAAAAGACAAAAACATTAGTGTTTCTTTTGTTTTTCCTACACTATTGAAAAGATCTTGTACCACGTAGAGGTATCGTTACACCCCTACTCAATGGCCACCAGGGAATTATGTGCTGGGGAAAGGCCTGATGTCCAGGTGAGCAGATGCAATGATAAGCGCACTACCTATAATAACATGCACCAGCTGACTCCCTCTGTCACTGGATTAAATTAGCCACTCATTCAACTTGTCTCACACAACTCCAAAATAGAAGCCTTTTCAGACATCCAGAGCTGTCCCCATTCCTTTCATCCGCTACTCTGCTTGTAATAATAGCTCTGACCCTCAATGTGAGAGAAATTAATCAAAATGACTTTTTCAAAGTTAATGGATGTAAAGAGAGCAAGAGGGGGAGAAAAAAAAGCCATGCTTTCTCTACGTCCTCTATGCGTGAGAGGCAAGGACGAGCTCAAATGCAGAGAACTGGTGCACGGATTTACTCCTGTTCCCATCTGCTGCAGCCAAGCCAGAGAGATGGCAGAAAGGACAGGGCCATGAGTTAGCAAGCTTATCTCATCTGTGTCACCTGATACGATGCAATATCCTGATTGGACTTCCTGAAGTCAGCTGAAGATTTGTTGTTATTGACACAGGTGATCATCAACTCTTGAGGAAACTTAATTAGTTGGAACTAGATTTGGGGTGTAAAAGGTGACACCAGATGAGAATATTAACTCATGTTCTGCTTCTACCAACAAAAATATCACAGACAGAGAGACATAAAGCAACTCTGATGTGTCTTACTCCAAGACCAGCTCAAATTAAAAAAAAAAAAATAGAGACTGCAGTAAGACACGCAACAAATTTAACATGAATGAGAATTCTGTGGTTGGTGGTATTATATGGAGTGACACACAGGAGAGGGCCATGTCAGAGCACAGCAACCCACGGGCTCAGCCAAGCCAGCTCCACCCGGTCACCAGGAAGCCCAGTGGTCCAGTGATACCTGTGACGACGATCTTGGGGACATCCAGAATGGTGCCGAATGACGCCGTTTTACGGTGGCCTCGTTTATACTGGGGGGGTGCTGCGAAAACACACACATACACACACACACGTAGAGCTGCGAACACAACAAGCATGCAGATGCAGACTAACACATACTCGGGGGTGGGGTGGGGGGGGGCCCACAGCTGGACTAGAATTGTTGGCCGCACACATGCAGAGCATACGGTGTACGTGCAAGGGCAGCATGCACCCCGTTGTTCCAGACGCTGTAAAGCGGTACTGAGTAGACCGTCGGCGGCCACTGCACTACTTTTCTTAGCACAAACAACAGCAGGCAATCAGCTGCAATGCATGTTGGGATAAAACGTTCAACAAGGCAATCTAAGAACATTTTACAGGAATTATTCATTAAAGTTATATTAAAGTCTGAAAACATAAAGAGGAAGTGACAAACACTGTGGTCTCAAATCAAACTCTACGGGGGGAGCTCCTGAGGGTTTATTTCACCATGCCAGCACTGGTGAGTCTGCTGCTTTCTGTCAAGAGCCTTTAAAGGAGGGGAGGTGGTTGACAGCTGGGTCTGACGGGCCTCTGTGTTCGGGGCCATATGGAGGGGTTTTATGAGGAATCAATCTTCACCTTAAAGTGATAAAAGCACGCAAAAGACCTGACTCTGGTGTCGGGGAAGGAGATTCTTGTGGACTTGGAAAGGCCTCATTGAAACAAGACTTGCCTAGATCCACTAACACTGCATGCCGTTTCCTGCACAACTTTTAACAGAAAATGTTTTTTTTTTTTAAATTACAAGAGCATGCCAGTTGCCACTTGATTAGCTCCTCTTCTGCTCTGCTTTTATGTGCTGTTTTTTTGCTGTGTAATGTCTGGCATTACCTGCAGGTGCAAATGGCATCTTGGGCTCCAGCTCTGACAGGTCAGCACTCATTCTTTTGCTTTCAGATGATGCCAGGCACTGTGTTCGTGCAGGCAGACTTTCAACACTGCCCCCCCTGGACAGAGGCAGAGTCCTCAATGGGTCTGCCTGAAAGACAACAACAAACAAAAAGACAACTTTCACTACAGAAGCTAGTTTTGGTATTTTGTTTTGTCAATATCCATCATTACAGAAAATCATTACAGTGAAAACAGTTTTCATCAAAATGAAGGATGAGAATTGATTTACCTTTGGCTTGAAGTGAGGAGCAAACTGAGGTGTTATCTTGATAGTATCGTTGCTCCCTTGAGAATCACTGTGCTCCATGTTTGAGTCGCTTTTGTTGCTTGTGCTGGTGCCAGCGTAGTCCACGTATGAACCTGTTGCTCCCCAAAGACACAGGACAGGTTCTCTCAATTGTGCTGCCTTTCATATGAGATTTAACATTATATTTGCAACATTTTCTGCTTCTATTTGATGGTTCACAACACTGTAAACATTTGAAAAATAATTCAGACAAATGTAGGTATTAACAATGGACTGATAAGTTCCCACAGATGTATGTTCAGAAGTGCACTGATTCAGTGCCATTTGTGTACATTTACTAAACAACAGACTTTTTATCCACTCTGGCCTGCATTACTGTTACCACAAATAGTCTGTTATCAGATTTCTGTCTCATGGGCTGTAAAACCATTTAATGGTTTGTAATTCAGGAACACATCTGTGCAAATATGTCACCCACAGTACAGCAAAGAAAGCCAACACAGTCACACAAGGAGTTAAATTCCTTCAACTGGTGATATGGACAGGTGCACAAGTTGTAGATCATGAGATTAAAGCTACCGTGGACCTATTTTGTACTTGTTTTACTGTACAGAAAATCATAGACATGTTTCTTGGGTGCTGAGGAGTATTAAATATGAATCAAAAGAATTGTGACCTAGACTGAGGATTAGCACCAGTAAAGGGAACTGAACATAAATGAGTGAAACATAATCCCATTTCCTCCTACATCTTTCTGTGTTGATAACCTCTGACTACACTTTGAAACTGGATCATGGACACCCATGCATTAAATGATACTAAAAGGGTTATGCTTTAACATGAACTTCCTGTGCAGGTTTGAAGGTTTGAAGATGACTCTTGTACCTGTACTAGTTGCAGAGTTGCTCTGTCCCTCATCTAAATACTGGTAGGGATATTGCAGGGGTTCATCAGATCCTGGGAAGTACTGCAAACAGAAAAAAAGAAGTAAGAGATACTCTCCATGATTGTCTCGAAGTGACCCCTAATCCACATCTTTCATTATTTATATTGCATTACACCGCTTACTAACTGGAACGCGATGTGAATGGGCCAACATCAGTTTGTTTAGGTTGCCTCAATGAAGATGTCCTAACCTGCTCTGTGCATCAGCAAACATTATTAGGGGGCAACCCTGAGTTTTTGCACATTTGTTCCACCTCAAACCCACTAAAACAAAATGTGGAGATTAGTCTAGCTATGCAAGACTAGTCAGCAGTTAACATGGGCATGAGGAAGAAGTGGGCCTTCAGGGCTTTAGAGAGTGGAGCTTTATGCCAGAAACTATAATTTAAAAGCAGCACATCTTATACGATGCACAGCACCCTTTTTATATAAGGATATCCTCAAAAAGGATGAGGTTTAGAAGAACATTTGGGAGCTGTGGGGAGTAATTAAACTATCCTTCAACTATATAGAAACAAGGTTCACAAAAAGTTGATGCTGCAACATCGCTTGTTATACATCTGGACAATTTTTAGCACTCCATTCGCTAGAATACGCTCGCTCGCTTGCTGTATGTTAGGAGGCAGTGTTATACTGATGACTTATTATTTTGTCCACCCCATGTATATGAATAACAGAAACACGTCTCTGTGTGATGGCAGGTCAACAGCACCACAAACTACACCCTCTAGAATGATCATAGAGTTGAATTCAGTCATTCATGCTGGCATTCATTTCACTGTTTTCATAAGCACCTATTGATGTTACATGCTGCTCTCTGTGACTGAGGTTTTTGCTCAGGGTTATTCAGCCTTATAGAGAGGGCAAGCACTGTGCAATTACCTTCATTAGATGAGTCATGATCTTCACTATCTCTTCCATGGAAGGCCGCTGAGAGGGGTCTTTAGACCAGCAGCGAGTCATCAGACTCTCAAGGGGCTTGGGCAAATTCTTGATTAAAGGAGGCCTTGTGCCTGAATGTAAAAAAAAAAGGAAAGAAATAAAGTAAGTAACTGTTGGCATCACACCTGACAAGCAAAGACATATTGCAAATTATGCTAAATGCCTGTCTCTTGCAGTCGGATTCACTGGGGAAAAATGTTAAACTTGTCCTCAGGTATTATTAGTGTCCCATTAGTATTCTCCTCCATCAATCTCTGGATGTGAATAAACTGCAGGGAGCACTGCGCAGGTGAACATGTCTTTAAGCCCCTCTCTTGTGCCAGGCTCTTAAACGCTCAGTTTTCCTGCAGGCCTAGAAGGGCAGGCACGTCTGAGGACATGACATGGCCATTGCATCCTGTAGCTCTAATTCCTCCGCACACACACATAGCCAGTGACTCACCGTTGTGCACAGCCCACATAATGCGAAAAGCTGGTCCTCCGATTTCATCAAAGGGCTTCCTGCGAGTGATCACCTCCCAGAGAATGATCCCCCAGCTGAACACATCACACTTCTCGCTGTAATTGCTGCCTGCAAGTACAGAAGAATGTGCAGCAACACTTAGGTCCTTTTCAAACAAGGGAAAAACGGCTCTGTTTGACATCACTGACTGACTGATAAAGGTAATTCTCTGTGGCATATTTGAGATGAGAGCGAGGATGTGCCTGAGAAGAGCACAGCGCTTGTTACTGCATCTCTGTCTGTTGTGTGTGTGTGGGTGTTGGTGTTGGTGGTTGCTTTTTGAGATGAAAATTAAGGAGCGAGAGGTGGTACCCAATGTCGCAACAAGCCGGCGATGATGTTGCGCAAATTAAATGCAAATCACACACCTATTTAAATGTTGCTGGTCCTGAGGGGGGAGAGGCAAGTGGTTGCTGCCGCGGACAATGAGTGTGTGAGAGGGGTTGCACCGAGGAGGCAACGAGAGCTTGTGTGTCTTTCAGTGTCGCACTGTAGACGTGAGCGGCTTGTAACCTGTCTGCTCCAGCAAACAAGATACATGACGCGTGTAGGCTTCTCATTTTAATCTTTCGTTCTTTTTGTTTGTATTTCCTCTCTCTCTCCGCGCGCGGCGCGGCGGCGCGTTCGCGTGGCCGTGTTGGAGAGCGGATGTCTCATTCATGTGAGAGGAGATTTGGGACATGTAGGCTCTTGGCGAATGAGTTACTATTTATTATCATGCTTGTTCGTCCTCCGTGGGAAAATAAGCACTCGAGCCGTATCTTATCGTTTTTGTTTGTGTGTCTCGGCGAGCGATGCTGTCTGTTTGGAGGCACGCACCGAGGTCAATGAGAAGGCGGCGCAGGCGGCGAGAACTTGCTGGTGATGGAAATCAAGAATTAATGCCTCCATGCTGGGAGCGCTAAGCTGCCATTAAAGTGACAAAACAAAATTGGGTGAAAGAAAGAGAGCATACAAATGGCTGGTTCACTGGATTGTGGGGATTGTGTAGGAATTTATAGAAATCAAACAGTAACGGGATACATATAAAGACTTTTTAGTTAANNGTATCCAGAGCTCTTCAACTACTTGGAATGCCACTCATACTTGCCTTCAAATACCTCTGGGGCCATCCATGCTGCACTTCCTTTGTTGTTGGTCATGTGGGTCTGAATATCGCACGCTGTTCCAAAGTCACATATCTTCAGCACAGTGCCGCCTGCCACTAGAAGCAGACTGAAACAAGGAAAGCAAGAAATAAACACAGTGCCTTCCAAACTTTTAGAAAGCCAGAAAAAGTGAAAATATCATTGTCATTCACACAAAAAGAAAAAAGTTAGAAAATATGTAATCTGATTGTTCTTACGTCTTAAGTCGTCTTGAAAACCTACACATTTAACTTGGGGCCTCTGTGGGGGGGAAAGAAGGGGGTCCCGACCCCCCAGTCTGGGAGCCACTGAGAATTAGAATATAACTTAAAGCTTTTGTTATGCTTTAAATTATAATCTAATGTGATTACACATCAAATGATAATTTAACAGTGTCATCGATGTACTTCATATTCCAGAATGCAGTAGTGTATGGCCATGAAAAGCAATGGGAGTGCACGGACAGGCTAGGGAGTAACTCTGGGAAGAATCATTAAACAGTATAGAAATAAATTCCTGTACAATCGCCCAGAGTTGACAATTTGTCACAATGCATGACCTCGTTATTCCTAGAAACTCCACACCAGTACTCTAGGAAAAAGACCAGCCGGTTATTCCCACAGAGTCCTGCCAGGAGCCTTCTTTCCACCCGATCAGAGTAAACAACCTTTGGACCACAAACATCCTTCAGTAACACTGTGTTACTGGGTGTTCAGACTGATAACACAGCTTATAAAAATGCAAAGGGCTGCATTGGTGGGCACGTGTGGCTCCAGGTACTTTTGTGATAATGGAATATGATCCAATTTTTCACCTGCAATTCCATTTTCAAAACAGCAAGTGAGCCATGTGCAAAGAAGACTTGTTAAGACTCCATTGTTAATGATGTAGCCTATTGAAATGATCCAAACCAAGGTGGTACTGAATGCTTTACCTGGTCTGTGCTTGTAAGACAGGCTGTCCACCCTGTCCGTGTCTTCTAACATAAGACCAGATAACATCTCTCTGTCTTTATCCGTTTCTCTGCAAAATGCTAAAATGGTCACTGGCTGTTAATGTATCTGGTAGAGTTGTTCCAATACCATTCTTTACTTTCCGATACCTGAACTTTGCATATGGGCTGATACAAGTTTTAATGATAGAATGAAATGTGTCAGTCAGTCAAATTGTTGACATTTAGCAAGCTCTGGCTAACATTACACTACTGGAAATCAACTTCACCACTCTAAAACAGTAGTTGCCAGTGGCCAGCCAATCAAAGTCAGAGTAAGGCAGGTCAGAACTTTGCCATCCTGTAAAAACTTTCTTTTAATTAAAAACAATTAAAAAAACGCAAAAACTGGGCACTGCTGGGAAATTGCAGGGTCTCTTTGTAGGGCTAATAAATAACGTGGTATCTGTACCTGACCCCTCATTTTAGGCAAGTATTTCCATACTGGTATTGGACAACTCTAATACATAATAAATTCTATATGGGAATCACTGAGATCCGGTTTTAAACCCGTCTTTAAAAAAAAAAGAAAAAAAAAGCATTTGTTTACTGATTTGGATGCAAATTACCATGGCGACAGTGGAAGCTTTGATGCTTTAAAAGCATTCACGTCAGACATAGAAATGACATATTTTTGATCAAGTGGCTTGCAACACTGTGCGACT